AACAGGGCGGAGATCAGGCGGCGGCGGCGGCGGATTCTCCGCCGTACAAGGCCAAGAGAGGGAGCGTTTTTCCGGCTAAGAGGAGGCTGGTGAAGAGCAGGATGTTCGATTCGATTTTCAGAGCGATTTTCAAGTGCTTTAGGTAAAACCGTGCTGCCAAACAGAGCCTAGTGAGCGGACAGGAAGAGTCGTCATGACGTGACGTCATGTATTTTCCTTACCATGATATTGAATATATTTCTTTTTTTTAATGGAAATTTTGATTTTTATTTATTTATTTTTAATTTTGGGAGGAGGGTCGTATTCGTATGTATCATTGTTTCTGTAGTGTGTAGATAGTTGTATGGTGTTTTTTAACATTTTTTATTTATTTATTATCATTACCTTTTTTTCGGAAAATTGAATTGTTGTAATTTTTTTCTTATATGCAAAAGCAAAACACTTTTTTTTATTTATTATCATTACCTTTTTTTTTCGAAAATTTGAATTCTGATAAATTTTTCGTTATTATATACGTATGCACCTGTCGAGTAATTAATTGAGACATTAATTGATCCAAGTCGAAAGGTATTTGATTTGGATCAGTGCAAAGACCACGTTGACTTTCTAATCAATGGATGAATTTTTCTCACTCATAGCTAGGTACATTAGCTCTTAGACAATATATATATATGTATACTATGATGTGATTAAAACAAAAACCGATAAAGAATAATGACTTTATCATTGTATATAATGCTTTTATAACTGTATGTAGTACTATTGATAGTTATTTATTTAAAATACAATATTATATATAACGACAAGTACACGTATAAAATTATAGGATAATATGATGTTAAATATATGCACCATATGATTTTCTTTGAAGGTTAAAATAATATTTTTTTTACGAGACAAATTTTGTCCACTCCCACAAATTAATTATCTTGAGCATGGGCACAAGCACAAAGTTCTCAAAGGAAATCATGCACATGACAACAAATGAAGCAATTAATGATGGATCATGGACCAAAGTTCAATAATCATACAATTACTAGTAATCAACCTGTGCATTTGCACAGTGAAGAATATACTTTAAAATGATAATAATATTAAAAAAAATAAAAATAAATTATAATTTAATTCATGAAAAAGAATATGAATTAAGAAAATAATTCTCAAAATTGATTTTGATCAAGTAATTGCTATGGAAGAGCCGTTACAACCATTTTCTTTATGCTAATACACCCGACCATTTTCATGAGTGAGTGACTTAAAATTTGAGTACAGTTTTGTAACTCCCTTGATTGGTTTATAATTATAATTTATGGCATTCAAGCAAGTTATTTTGTAACCTAAAAATGAAATTGAATGCTAAAAATTTTGGAGGGAGAATAAAATTTAATGCATAAAAATAAAATTAAATGCTTTGTTGCTCTTCTTTATATATATATAGATGAGGCTTTGTGGGAAAATCATTGGCTCTATTGTAAAGTTAACTAGAAATTAATTAAAAATATAGAATAAAGTAAAAACATAACTAAATAAATGAGAAAAAAATAATTTTAAAAAGTAAATCTGAATATTATAAAACATTCTTTTATATACAACATTCGTGGTTTTCACATTGTCAGAATCTCCATCACAACAAATCATTATCGTTAAATCTCTTCGACTCGTGACTTTGATTATTTTACAAAATATTTGATGTGTCTTTGTAATATCTGAAAAAATATTTTTTTTTATCATTGTATGGTTGCAATAGAAAATAGAGATATTTTTACTCATTTTTAATTAGTTGTGAAATATGTATTTATATAATACCAAAAAATATATAGTATAAAAAAAAACTAAAATCTTTTTTATTTCAAGACATAAAAAGGCGTTACATAAATGGGCACCATCCAAAATGAGACCTGTCAAAATAAATTGTGTAACTGAAAGTTACATATTATTAATAAATGGCAGTGTTCTAAAAGTCGCTAGGCGCCCGCTAAGCGCTCGACCAGCGCCTAGAGCGCCTAATCGGGGCCCAGAAATCAATATTAAATACCTTATTTTTTTATTTGTTTTAAGTTTTTAACTACTTACAAAATAAAACTATCTCAACTTATAACAAATTTATACACCAAAATCCAAATAATAATATTAATATATATTAAAGAAAATATGAGAACAAAATAATGTAACTAACATTTAAAAAATAAAATAAAATAAAAAAACTGAAAAATTGCCGCCGAGCCCGCTTAGGAGCGCCTAGGTCCGCCTACGCCCGCCTAGACGCCGCCTAACCGCCTGGCCGCCGAGCCCGCCTAGACCCGCCTGGCGCCGCCTAGCCGCCTGGCCGATTTTTTCTGCCGATTTGTACAAATCGGTGGCGCCCGGGCACCTCCTAGGCCGATTTTTAGAACAGTGTTAAATGGTGAACTTATTTTTATTAAATGAACAACTATTTTATTAAATGAACTCATATTATTATTAATTGCTGGCTGAATTTATTGAAGGTTGCCAGCACTTATATATATATAGATATAGATACTCCCTTTATTTTTCACTTCCAAATAAAAAAATATATAAAAAAAAAGAAAATTCAATCAAACCAATTATCACACCACCATGCTACACGAACGTAATAACTAATAAACTTTGACATAATACACCTTAGTACGATCTTGTGATTTTACACACTACACAACCTTTAAACTCAACAAATCAAACACTTACATCAATTATGCCAATTATTATGTCAAGATAGCATTACATTTTATTTTTTACATCATTATATTATTTCCTTTAATTTAAGGAAATATTGAATTTGCATAAATATGTTAAATTTATTAGTCACGGCCGAAGTTACAATTGGGCCCTATTTTCGGACATCGTTGTTTTCATAGCCCTACTAAAAGGTTCGATTATTTTCCCTCCTCCCACCGCCACCGTGAAATCCTTTTCCCGGCGACATCACTTCTTTCCGGCGAACGGAGCTATAAGAAAGACCCCAATAAATTTAAAGATAGATGCTTTACATGATGAAAAACTATGTTTTAAAAGAAATCGGAGAAAAAGAAGACGACGAACAATTAGACAACGAGGAAGACGAAGATCTGTCCTTCTCGTCGGAATCGGAAATTGTTGAGGCTTTAGATTATTTGGATTCGAGGGACGATGCTGACGGCGGAGTGATGGATGGGTCGTTCACCTTGCTGCAAACGAGGCGGCCCAATGCTCATGGTGGGCTCCACTCGAGGCCCAACAACTCCTCTCTTCAGCCGATATAGAGTAAGTCGCAGAGGATTGCGAGTCACTTCCGGGCATCGCCCTTGGAGGTAATTTGCTGATGGGTTTGTTTAATCTGATTCTTGTTTCTTTTTTTTTTCTGGGTTTTGTGGAGGAAAAGGGATAAAGATAAGTATTTTTTTTTGGGTTTGTTTTTGGGTTAGAATTATAGATGTTGGTGTTTTTGGGGATGTTTGGGTTTTGAATGAAAATTGGAAAAAGGCTAATTTTTGGATTTGTGAACTCAAAAGCAGCAACCTTTACATATTTTTTCGATAATCTTTTCCTCTTGTGCTGGATGTTAGACATTCTTTCATGTTGTCTGTGTGCTTTTTATGTTTGTTTTGCTGTGCTTCAGTTGTTAGTGGTCTATTCTACTTCGTATGACTTGAAAATTTTGTGTTCGGTTGTGGGTTGTAGACATTCTCAGAATAAGTCTTCACTAAATAGAGAGTATTTTTTCTAATAAGCTTTGTTCTTTCTTTCATGCGATTGACCCCTAAAACCAGTATGGTTTTATTCAAAATGCTGAATAGGGCTGTGTTTAATGACATCAATGGCTGCATATCAACCGGCAAAGAAGTGTATTTTCTGCTCTCATGTATTTTCTTTGATTTTTCTAGTTCTTTTTTTGTAGTTTAACTTTAAGCTGGATATTCTTACATTTATATGTTGTCTAGGGAAGCTTCTAATGATATTTTTAATCTTCTTAATTTCAAAGGTGAGCTGAACTTCGATAATTTGAGCCCCTGTTTCATATATTTTTGCTTCCAACAGGCAAATGTCTACCATGCTACAAAATTTAATGGTTAGGAACTGGCAATCAAGGTTTATAAAACATATGTTCTTGTTTTAAAGTATGTATAACTAGCCTTTAGTGTCTCCATACATCTATAGTATAAGTTACGATGTACCTCTGTTACCTCTGTAAATATCAGAAGTTGTTTTATATGGTCCGTCTTGACGTTCTTACCCAAAAAGCCGAAGTTGTTTTATTTTCTCTATGCCAGATGATTATAGCAATGAGGACATTATATCAGAAGTGCAAGCTAGTCCACGGACTGCAGCAAGAGCAGCTTCAAATGCACCAGTCCCTAAATCAAGAAGATTTTTTTTATAAAAATGCCATATATGTATATAAAGTGACCCAAAAAAAAAGAAAAAAAAGAAAAATCTGCATTAGGTCATCTCACATTCTATTGTTGTGATGCCAATCACTACTAGGCTTAGGATCTGCATATCCTTCTTAATGAATATGTCGCATGTGTTGTTCGAAAATAAAAGTCAACAACTCGGATAAATTTTCAAGTATAGTGTGGGTGTGTAATTAGGGAAGGAAGATACTAACATAGTTACACCCATGACTTTCCTTTTGGAAGTTCCAATTTCACTTGCAGTGGCATTGGCATTGGCATTGCAATTGGCAGTGACATGACTTTTCTTTTGGAAGTTCCAATTTCAGTGGCAGTGGCATCATGGTAGAACCAGTGGCATCGGCATCATGTTAGTATTTTCCAGCCCAAATTACACAACCACACTATACTCAAGAATTTATCTGGACTTTTTTTTTCGTACAACAGATACGATATATAAGGTAGCATATGCATATCTTAAGGCTAATAGTGACTCAGGCATCAGTACAATGTGAGGTCAGTGACCTATTGCAACAAAACTTCAATTTGACAGTTCTTCCTTTNTATACATATATGGTATTTTTATAAAACAATCTTCTTGATTTAGGGGCTGGTGCATTTGAAGATGCTGTTGCTGAGTTCATCATTTGTTATTTTTTCTTCTTGAACTTTTTCTCTTTCTTAGTTCTGAATTCTAACATTTGGAACATAGAATATGGATATTTGTATTGGTTTTTCAGGGTCACTTGTATATAATTGATTTTTCACAAGCAGTTGATCTTGACCATCCTCATTCCCTTGATTTCCTTCGAGAGGATTGTATCCAAATTTCAATAAGTAACATTACGGATGTCTGTTCTGTAAGTCTTGTGTTATTTCTTCTTTTCTTGGCAAGTCATTTTGGAGTACAATAAAATAACTTGAGGTTTTTTCTTCATTTTGATGCAGGATTTTTTCAAGAAACATGGGCTAACGGTAAAGTCTAATGACAATATTTGTGAATTATTCAATTTTATTGTGGATGCTACGATTCACAATAAAATTTCATCATATTTAATTTGGTATGATTTTCTTCACAGGTGCAACAAAAAATTCTGGCTAGAGGCGACATTATCTCTGCAGAGGAAGAAATTGCAGATTCTGTTTTTGTTCAGGTATGTAAGTAGCAGCAGTTAATCTAAATTATAAATGTCTGTTGAAAGAAAATCACTGATGTTTGAACTTATTGCACAAAAAACCCCGAGGTTTGTGAAAATTACAGAAAATACCTTGAGGTTCAATTCTCGAATCATTCCCTTTGTGACCGAAAACCATTTGAAAAGTGCCTTATAGTGTAAGATGGAATGAAATTCCAAGGGTTATGTGTAATGTGTTCAAATTAAATATTTACTCAAATTTACAAAAAAAATTGCCTCACTCTCTCTAGACCTCCATCCTGAAAACTCTGGACCATGTATGGACTGTAAGCAGAAAAGACAGAGGATATGACTATTCAAACTATTACAGTCCCAAATGAAATGTTGCAAGTTCATGTTATAATTCATCATTTGTAATTTCAAGTCACATTATTACAGTCCCAAATTTTTACCATTTTCATCTGCCTCTGTGCAGAGGCTGTAGAAATTTCCAATTCCCGTTGTACTTGGTTCAAATTTATTTTTAGCTGAATAAAACCAAAATTTAAAACAAAAAAGGGAAATATTATACAGCAAGAATAGCCTTATGCATATACCCACAAACTTTAAAGCCACTTCCTTGGTCTAACACAGTCCAGATTTGTGATTTCTGGACTGGAACAATTGCCAGCATCCTGTTAGAATTCCTTCATTTTCTCTGCATTAAAATTAAATAAAATTGTTTTATTGATCACCAATTCTAATATTTGCAACCAATATGCTATCATTGGTTTATTGATCACTACTTATTTATACGAAATGCAACTTAACAGAGCATTTCTCATTTATCTATATTGGGTTAGAGTACTACATGGTGGGTTAGAGTAGCATTTATCATTTATCTATATTGGGTTTAGAGTAGTATATGGGTGGTACATTAAAGTTGTGATTGGATATGGATCAAACCTAAAAAAACCAATTATTTTTAATTCATATACTTTTTTTAATCCAACTTTAACTCAATCACACAATCCTCAACATTATAAAAATAAATAAATAATACTAATCAATCATTCTTACACATTATCTCAACTTTAATACATTATTCACACATTCACATAATTTTAACTAACCATCACTTCACATTATCTCTCATACTTCAAATCAACTATAATTATTTTATTTTAAATATTATTTTAATATAAATTCAAAATCACTTTAACAAACAATCATATCACATTTTTTCAACAAAACTAAACAAAATCAAATCAAATTTATATCCAATCACACCCTAATCTGCATAGATTCTCGGAATGCGGAGTTGTTGAACACAAAAAGGAAAAATGAACTAAGAACATTTACTATATATTAGGTATATTAAAAAATGTTTATATGTCATGTAAGAAATATACTTAGTATAAAAAGAAATGATTTTGAATTCGAGTGAAAGCAGATTGGGTCCAATTTAGGTAGCAGAAAAAGATCCGGTCTATTATTAAGTCGAGTAGAAATTCATAAGAGTATTCGTTTGAAATTTTGAGTGACATTTAAAATTTGTGGAGTTTAGTGAAATCCTTAGAAACGGTAAGTCTAGAGGTGGATTTTAAGAATCCTAGTGTATTCGCTTGAGATTTTAAAAAAATCTTAAAAAATCGCATTTATTTAGAATTTCAAGAAGTCTTCAAAAGTCATGAACTATTCAATGTATTTAGAGCATGTTTGGATATAAAATTTCTCAATAAATCCAATCATTTTTTAACCAATCATTTTTAATAACTCAAATGTAGCATAATTTTAAATTAACTTCACTGTTCTCAATATTATCAATATAATTAAACAATATCAATCAATCATTCTTACATATCACATCAACTTTAATTCAATATTCATCGACTCACATAATTTTAACTAACCATCACTTCACAATCATATCTCTCATACTTTAAAATCAAATCTACTTTAATTATTGTATTTTATATATTATTTTAGTGTAAATACCACATTTTTTAAAATTAACCAAACAAAACCAAATTGAATACATCGAATAAGCATTCAAAGGATTTAAATCTACAAAACCTAATAAAATCTCAAAAATTTTGAATTTTAAAATCTTAAAATGCCACTTAAAATTTCAAACGAATACACTCTTCGTAATTTGTGTTTGAAATCTCACCAAAATTTAAAATCTTAACAAAACTCATTGTTAAATACGTCTTTTTTAAATCTCAAATGAATTATTTTAAGACAAAGTTTTAAAAAGTCTAAGTTAAAAGTTTTTATTAATCCCAAACAAATACGCCCTCGTGCAATCGGTTTCTTTGTATTGAAATGGTTTTAGGTGTAAATTGAATAATAATTACAATATAATAATATGAATTTTGCGAAAATACTAGTTACCAACATATTATTAACGAACAAGAAGTTGAATAATAATGACAATAAAGTCGTTGGGATTTTGTGCAAAAATACCATCTTTATATTTATTAAAATGCAACTCTTTTCTATTATGGCAAAAAATGTAGTTACGACTGAAAATATTTCTGTGAACTGTCAACTTTTGTCGAGTATGTAAAAGTTCCACCAGTTTCCGGCATACCTTTGGCTGCCGACGGTACATTTCCCGCCGCCGTAACTCCCGCGGCTACAGCTCCTGCCGCCGCTACCCCTTCTAATTCCACTGCTCTGACTATCACTCCAGCCAGCCAATTTTTTCTTCCGCCAATCCCTCTCAGTCTTGGGCAACACCCTCCCGCCAGATTTATTGCTATCGCCAATCTTCTTAATTCTCTTCGCCTGCGAATTGAACGGAAAACCCATTTTGAGAAACAAACCCCGGTTGTCCTCCTCGAAACCTTTCTTGCCCTGCACCTTCCTAAAAACGGCCCTTTTCTGCAAAATCCGATCTTTACCCATAGTTTGCACCTGGGGGCCTCGAATATTGCTTATTTCCACTATGGGGCGGTGGTGCTCGACAAGATCTTGCAGAGATAGTTCGTACAATGATTCGGGCATGTTCTTCACCATCTCCATTAGCTCCCTTTGGCCACTGGCGATGGCTTTTCTTCTCGAGTTGCGAGGCGGGCTCGGGCTTGGATTCGGGCTAGGGTTGGTTTTCCATAGCAGCGGCGAACAGTCGCCGGAGCTGTCGGGTTCTTGATTGTTGTTTGACCTGAATTGCAATATTTTGTCGGAGGAGGACTGATAGGTACAATTCCTGTAGTTTTGGAATTGGGGCAAATGAGTGGTTTTTTCAGCAGATTTTTTTATTGTGCTTGACTTATGATCATGTTGAGTTCTTGGATCAAGCATTTTTTT